ACCGGCGGGGCCGTGCAGAGCTTCGCAAACCGGCCGCGGTTGGGTGCGAGCTCCGTGTTCGGGCTGGAATCGGTCACCCCCTTCTCTGCTCCTTGCTGCAGATGGAGCTGGAAGCGCTGCGCTCTATCTACGAGGGGGATCTGTGCTTCAGGGAGCTTAGCCCGGTTTCCTTCCAGTACAGGGTAAGGCAAGGTGAAGGTCTGTGCGCCGCTGCAGCGCGGGCTTCATCCTGAAGTTACTCTACTGTCTTGTCGTTGACGGACCAGCGTTTTTCTAAAACAGATGGGTATTCGATGTGCAGTAAAGGCTAGATCCGTAGGCCGTTGTTTCAGGGTCTTTGGTATGATGATGCTTGATAGCACAATGCTTCATGCACAGGAACCTGCTCCCAGTGCGGGTTTATTGTCCCTTAGCTAGGCATCCTACTTGCAGGTCTATGTACTGCATAGCTAGAACTGTCAAACTGGCTGAAGGAGCCCGCATACTGAGTAATGCTTAAACTAGGTGGTCAGAAATGTCACTTACAGAGACTTTGACATGTAAAGCTCTGAACCTTCCTTATTGCTCAGTTACAAGGTTCTTCTAGTGTCTTGTCCAGAAGCAGTTGACGTGCCTTGTCTACCTGGTAAGCAGGAAATCCACAAAACGCTTTGGCCATGTGCACTGATACAACCTGCTCAGGAAAGACATAGAGGGAATGCTGAGCTTGCGATATGCAGTTAGATTCTGGCATGAAATTCTTGCCAGCTTTCTCAAATTTAAAGATCTGGAAGTTGTTCTGGGGGTGGACTGAGGCAGATCTTTGGATGGCCAGAGAACTTAGGTGATGAAAACTCAGGCACCCATAGGACAGAAGGAAGGCTTCTGAAAATGCCACATCCTTGTAGTGGGAAGGAGGCATCCAGAATAACCTTTTCGTGACTTCTCAGGTAACTTCAGAATACTATCAGTAATTGTAATGAGATAAGTTGATTTAATTAATAGCACTTGAATCCCATCCATGTAAGTGCTGCCTTCCTTCGTTGATAGGACTGCTGTTAGTAAATTTGATTTCCTCAAAAGAGCAAATGTGACATGCCTACAAGTCTACAGTGTATCATTCTACATTTTACTAGCTTTGGTCATTGCTAATTTTTATCAGATGAAGGAAAATTGTCAAAAGTTAGAACTCAATTTAAATACTGTAAAACTTAGTGTCAGACAAAGGCAATCAAGTACCTTTCCCATGAAGAAGAATTTGTATTACAAGAAAGCATAGTGCAAGTAAGTACATGAGACGGTAGCAAGAATTAGTATGCCATTTTTCTGAGTCTCATTTCTCTCACACGTTTCTCATGCAAAACACAGCTGTTTTGTAATCAAGTAAGGCTACCCAGTTTTTAGGTTGCACTGCCAAGAAGGAGCACAGTCATGCAGCTTTCTGTATGGATTTGCTCAGTGTGCAGACAGTACTTTCTCCAGAGAAGAACTTTGTAAACCATACCACCAGTTCTCTTCTTGGCAGCGGTGGGAACTGGACTGCAACACTGTAGATGACGTCTTGATAAATGTTGCAGATTCCTGATCTTTTTATTTATTTATATTTATTTATTTCATCTCTAGAACAGATGCTTCTGAATGTCAGTTAGTCCACTCTGCTGAAATACTGTAAATAAAAAAGCACCAACTTTTTTTTCTTTCCTTTTTCCTTTTTTAATTTTAAAGTACAGTAGCCTTACCTTGATTAGGACTTTTTTTCTGGCTACATTTCATTCCACATAATTTGATGAAACCAGATTTTGCCTATTCTAAAATGAGGGAAATAGGGGAGAATTTTCATGTGGTTTTAGAATACGGACTTAGCCAACTTTGTTGCACTAGTCTTCCAAATCCTTGTGTGAAACAGTTATTTCTGTTTGTATAGTATGCCTTTGGTAGCACCTGTACTAGTTTTAAATTTTAAAAAAAAAATTTCATTTTTTATTTAATTTAACATAATTGTAAGGTTTGTGTATGTAATTTGGGTTCACTAAATTGGTTTGATGTGCATGATTATTTATATTAAAGTGTGCCTTTTTTAAATGTTATGCATCTTTTATCCAGTCTCAGTCAACTGACCTCTTAAATCTTTTACTACTCATTCTTTCTTATAGTGAAATAAAATATCTGTAGGGATGAGATGTAAACATTGAAATTCTTATCTATTGTTTTTGCTATCTTAGGTCACTAATTTATCGTCATCTTCATTTCAATGCTGTCTTGTGGTTTGTTTTCATCTTGCTCTGAGCTTGGATGCACGGGGGAGGGAAGAAGCCTTCATCTTTTCTGTTCTCACATATGATTGTATAATATTTGGCTTGCAGATGGTACAAAGTAGCTTTTAAAACCAAGCGATTTAAAAAAAAAATAAATAAAGAGAGCTTTGAATGTTTCTGCTGCTTTTTCTAGGATGAAAACTGCAGGGTAGACATTGATATTGATGTCATAAATTTAATACTCTTTCTAGATAACAACTTTATTTTCTGACTGATAACTTTATGAAAATAGTTGTTATCTTAAGGAATTTGGATAGTCTTAAAGAAGTGAAAGACTTGCATATTGGCATTGTAATCCTTAATAAGTGACTGGAAACTGTTGATTTATGAAGTTTTTCTTTTCCCTTCAGATAGGTGAAAGTGGAGATCCCAAAGCCTTTCTAATAGAAGTTTCCTGGCCAGAAACATATCCACAAACAGCACCAGTCATCTCAATGGATGCTTTCTTCAACAACACAATGTAAGTATTTATGACAGCTTCATTCCCTAGCCTTATACATGGAGGCTTTTTGGTTGACAAGCTTTTCTTCATCTGTCTAGATGAGAGTTGAGTTTTATGTTTTCTTTTAGATCTTCAGCTATTAAACGAAGTATATTGGATAAGTTAATGGTAGAAGTTGAAGCGAATCTTGGAACTGCTATGACATATACACTTTTTGAATATGCCAAAGATAATAAAGAGTTATTCATGGAAAATCAGCCTGTTAACACTGTGGTAAGTAGATAAATTCAGATTTTAATCTCTTGCTTTTAAAACTGCAAAAAATGGTTATTACAACTCTAAATACTTCATAGTTCTGTCTTTGAGTTGTTAATCAGTATATCGGGTATACCCATGTTAGTGGCTAAACAGTGACAGAGTATGGTGCCACAATGTTCTGTGGTCATAATTGTTGTATTTAATTATTATTTTGCTGTTATACCAGTATGTTTGTGGGCTGCAGTTCTGCCCCACAGAGTAATATAAAAATGGAGACTTGGAGCAGAAGCAAATCTTAAGAGAGCTGAAACGGAGATAAAAGGTGTCTGCTGGGGGTGGCACATTACTGCAACCTGTCTGGGATGCAATGGATTGCATAAGTGCACCTCCAGGGTCTTGAATGAGTCAGGCTGGGTCTGTTTGTGGCTTCTGTGTTGTGTGAGGACGTTATTGGCCACGTGGTGCTACAGATTTGCTTTGAGGAAGAAGGAACAGCTTCCATGTTTGGGAAGTCTGAATCCTTTCAGACTAAATCACACTCTATGATTAAATTTAAAAAGTGTAAGAGGTGCCCTTTGTGACTCTGAAAGGGAATAATTCCAGTCCCCAACACATGTTTTTTAAAACTACAATCATGATTATATGTTGATTAAAGGCTGCAGACTGCTGACTGCATTGCTTCTTTCTGACAGTCAAGATATTTCAATATGTCAGGTTCAGTAATCACACACAGAGATATCTGTGGAACTAATATGTAAAATACTAACAACCATTTTTATCCTTCTCAGACTTCAGTAAGCAATAGTATTGCAATTGGAACTCCTGATGTGCCAGCAAGTAAGAAAAAAGATAAAAAGGAGCAGTTATCCAAAACTCAGAAACGAAAACTAGCTGATAAAACAGGTTTGTTCACTATAATATTGCTTTGTTTGAGCAGTATGAGAATCCAAATTTTATAGCAGTGACATCTTGCTAGAGTCAGAATCAGTATTTATTTGTTTACAGGATAAACTACTTTAAGTCTGTGGTCTCTGTTTTGCTTGTTTTAGATGAATTATTCTTGCCCGAGATGTTAGTTGTGGTCAAAGTGACTTTCTATGGAGTAGGGATTTCAAGATGTCATTGGTTTTGGTTTATTTTTTTATTTCAATTTGGGGCAAAAGTGAAGTTTTCAAAAAATACTTGTGGGAGGAGAACATTTGGGACTTCTAAAAATTCACTTTCAACAAAAGAGGTGGTTTGTTGATGGGCCCTTGTAGATAATTCACATTATTAACAATGTAGTTTCTAGATGAAAGTATTTGTTTTGGAACCCAAAATAAAACATTTAGTTTACTTTGTACCCTCAAAATAGAGGAGCTTCTGCAGATACTTTATGCTTTCAATGAAATGGTAGGTTTTTGATTTGAGAAGCGTTCAATATTTCAACTAATCCTACTGATGACTTTTATGTGTTTAACCTTAATTTTTAATAATGATCTGGATAATACTATCCTATGGCAGCAGTAAGTTGTATCCTATGATAACAATTCCTGCGTATAATTTACCTAACCTAATGTATAATTGGCAGATTAAATGTTGACCGTATAAAGGAAAAGCTGCATAAAATTTTGTTCTTTGACAGAATGCATCATTGCTGGTCAGCCCAGCTCATGTTGGAGTTGCCTTCTAGATTAAATGTCAGATGGACTGAGGTGTATTTATTTAAACAGAATTACTTTGAAGAACAAGATGTGTTTAAGACATTAATATCTATTTTTGTCCTCATGGCTTTGTAGTGGAGAAATTAAGGGTTTTGGATCTTTAGAATTTTGTGTATTGATTTTGAAGAAAGATAAGGATTCCCCTTAGCTTGTGTGTTGAAAATAAAACCTTATTCTGCAGATAACAAAGGGGAGCTTCCGCGAGGATGGAACTGGGTGGACGTAATTAAGGTAACATGACTGTATTATATGCAGTATAATGAAAATACTGCATATGTACATTAAAAATAATTGTACTTATAGCTGAAGAAAACTAATCTGATTTTTTTTCTTGCTTTTCTTCCTAACTTTGTTTGGATTTGACTGTGGTGTCTGATTCATTTCTATATGCGTCCAGCATGTAAGTATTTTCAAGTTATCTTTTTTTAAAATTAAAAAGATTTGCAAGAAATAGTAAGAACTGTTGCTCATTTTGGATTCTATTCTACATATTTCTCAAATGCTTTAAAATGCTTAGTCCTTCTGAATATTAGAGACAGAAGGACTTTGATTCCTCTTTGAACTTTGTTGGTTTAGTATTTCTTTTTTATTTATTGAGCAATTAAATTTTAATTTTATGATGAGAGAGCTTTGGTAGCCAAACGGACTGCAAATATACTGTCTTCATATGGCAACAAGATGTAAAGTAAAGTTAGTGGTGCTGCCAGGTTCTGGAGGACAGTGGGTAAGTAAGCAGAAAAAACGAGCTGTCCCAAGTGGGAGCACCTTGCTGTCTTCTACACGCCTGAACATTCTCTGCCACAACTCCTCCAGTGAATAATTCTTTTTTACTTGCTCCCTCAGCATTGATTGCTTCCACCCTCTTGTCTTTGCTGATTCAGTGGAAATCAGTATAGCTGCTTGACAATTTTGAAAGCAAACTATTTTATTTTACTCAACTATAAGTAATTCTCGGTGTAAGACCTAACACCGGTTCCAGTTGTTAAATAAGAGCAAGTAAATGATAATGGTGGGTTTGGGCAGAGTCATTCTGAGTTAGAAGTGGCTACTTACCTGTAGTGGATGTCTTGGATTCCAGATAGATTTCACAATAGAAGCACTACATTTAATAATTATACACTTAGCTTTAAAAAGTGAGAAATAGTAAGTTAATGTTTCTTTTTGTATTGTGTAAATTTCTATATGGGAATTCTCTCAGAGATGTGTGGAGATACTTCTTCCATTACTTCATGTTTTTTATTTTGGAGAGCTGGTGACGGAGTCTTCAAATTAAATAGAAACAGTACCCCAAGGTTTTTCTGGGCTTTTATGTTGTCGTTTTTTAAAATCAACTTTCATGTTCAGGAAATAGGCTTATTTAGTGTTTAAGCTTAAGAAATAATTTTCGATGCTTTTCAGTCTCTTGGTACAGTAGCACAATCAGTCTGTATTATTAATTAAGTATACATGTGTTCTATGTAAGATGGAGATAATGTTGTTCTTGTTTCCTAATAAATGGAATGGCAGTCTAAACTTTGAATACTTTCTTTTTGTGTCTCTTTTATAGTTAAGCAAAACTGGTTCTAAAGATGATGAATAAAGGACTTTGGTACAAGGAAACTCCACCTTTTAATACAGTGCAATTTTGGGTCACCATCTTTCTCTTAATAACTTTCATATTTGTTGAAGTAAACATTTTATAAAACTCAATTTCCTAACTCACAAACCTAGTCATAGAAGTTTATCTAGAGACTATGTGGTCTTCTTTGGAAAAAAAACCAACAAACTTGCCTTAAATGAAGGTTAGAATGTGACAAAGGATATAGAGAGCCAATGTGGTGAAGTGAATAGTGCTATATGCAGTGTTTATTAATTTATATTTTACTCTGTAGTTAAAATCCTGTTATAGTGAATCCAATGATACTGTAAACATTTCCTGATGTTCTTACTCCAATTGAAGAAAAAAGCACTATAACAGTGATTGGTCACTTGACAGCATAATTCATCAAAATAAATTATTCCATGGAAACAAGACCTTTGTCATTTGTTTATCTAATATGAATGTAGAAGGAGAACATAAAAATTGTTACATTGCAATATAGACTAGAGCTTGTAGTCCCGTTTTCACTAGTTACTGGCTCAAATAGTAAATACTAGAGAAAGCAAGGCCAAATATTGTAGTCTGCTCAAAAAAGAGTGGTTATAGCAGGAGTATGTCTTTATTCTCTGCGATATCCATCCATTAGTCTTTCTCCAGTGTGCATCTTTACAGAAGGGTGGATATCTGAGGGCAGGGAAAAGTGCTTTCTTGCACATGTCTCAATGAGTGTTGGCATTTTGTGGCTCTTTCATTGGAGAAATGGGCCTCCTTGGAGGGGTTTGCTGACTGAGTGGTGGGACAGTAGAAGTCAGCACTCTGCCAAATGTGCTGGGAGAACTTTTTTTTTTCCTACTCTGCTCTCTTGTATCAGAAAGAGAAGTCATCTTTACCATATGAACGCTTACTGAATACAAGATGCCTTAATGTCCTTTATTATTTTTGTTTGTTTTGAGATGAACTTTAATAAATGCCTATTTATCTGCTGTGGTATGTGTTTATTTTTTTTAAATTGTGTATTTCCTACTGCACTTTAAGGGCCAAGTTTGAACTTGCAAAGGATTTTCTATTACAAAGAAAGCATTCTTAAAAATTGGTGGAAGAATTATATCTTCCCTCTTTCAGTATATGTTTGCGTGTTCTTCAGGGTAGCTGTGTTTGTTATTAGTATGAGGGTCAGTCATCCTGCTGAGAGTCATAGGAGAATATGCATTATCTTCAGTACACACAGCAAGTCCAGTGTCTCTTTGAAAGAGTGCACTCCATTGCGCACACTGGCTACAGCATTTGGTGAGGGGGATGTTAGAGGTGCAGGCTGGATGTTCTGATCAGTGGTGCTAAGAGCCTTTGTAGCCAATAGAGGATAGTTTACATGACTGTCATATTAGGACTTCAGTTGATGGAGTGGAAGTGTTTATGCTACTGTGTCAAGAGAGCTTATATGCAACATGCATTAATATAGTTTTCCTAAATTCTCTTAAATTGTTTTACCAAAGGAGAATACACTAAATACATTGCAAAATTACTGCTTGTCTTCATATATATATATATATAAAAAGAAAAAAAGTTACATGAAATGTTGTGACTGCAGGTGAAGGAAAAAAATTGAATTTGTTGTGTGATTTTCACTCTTCTGAAGAGACTGTGAAGAGATCTGAAAGAAATGTGGTCTGTACTGCTGTCATCCAACAAGAGGCTGTAGTTTTTACTGAAACACTTGAGTTAATTCATAAATGTATGTGCTTCCTCAATAAGGAAAATACTATTAATTTTTATAGAATTCTTAATTTTGGAAAGTCATGGTTTCTTTCTGAACCCAGCTTCCATTTAGTAAAAGCTGGTAAAGTATCCAAGGGAGGACTTTTTCCAAATGATGCAGTCTTGCCTTTGAAACAAACTGGAGGCTCATGGGTGCAATCTGAGCAAGAGCGTCTGGCAGGGAGAAGTTGCTCTGGTGCTAGGTACACGGTGAGCCTGTAACAGGGAAGGGCATTTAGCTTTAGCCTCTGCCAGCATCAGAATAAGCAGGACTTTTTCTATTCACGTCTCCAAGGGGAATTGACTTGTCTTTGCTAGTATCCTTGGTGCATAAATCAAGTTGCCATGACGATTTATCTGAATAGATTAGTTAGGGAGGGTGGGGGAAGGACAAATAAGAACGACATCTCTTGCTTTTATAGTGTTGCTCTGTGTAATGGCAAACTTTTTAACCTTGCAAAATGCTTGATTTTTCAGCTCCTAGTCTGCCTATAAATCACACACTCTTGTGAAGATATCCAAGCAATCTCCTCTAGTTCTGTTCGTAAACATGTTTGTTTGGAAGTCTACTTTTAAGGGAAATATTTTGCATGGGGAATTTTTGTATTGGTTCCTTGCTTCTGTGTAAATTTTGAAGGGTAATTTGTGTCATTAAACCATTTCCTTGTATGACATGGTGGTTGGAACACAGTCATTTCAAAAATCTAGGTTGTTGATATTACGGAGAGGCCTGAGCACTGACAACTGAGGGGAGGGGAAATGTAATGATTCTTATCAAGAAAGGCACAACTGTAAATAGAGATCATGACTACTGAGGGAATTGTAAACACTGTTGAAAAATACACCACCACCACCTTTTTTGAAGTAAAAACTCACTACCAGTGGAAAAATGGTAGTTTATGCTTTATTTCAGTAGGGCAAGAGTCTCTTGATTGTAGGGCTACAGCACCTATTTAAATTCATGGGTTTTGCAGTAGAGCTTTTGTTGGCCTGAGAAGACAAGTGTCAATAGCAGTAACAGTAAAGTAGCAAGTGTCTGAAATACAGGATGATTAAAAAGGAATTTGTTGGTTTACAAAATTTTCCATAGTGCATATCTACTAATTGCCTTACTGAAGCACTAGTTGAAAATTTTCAAAAAAATGCTTTTTATTTATAGTGTTGTTGCAGTAACCACTTGGAAATCTCATCTGATCAAGCATAGCTTACTTTTTTCCCTTTTTCAAATTTGTCTCTGAGAATCTTCCCTTGGCACAAATTTGGTGCAGAAAATTGAGATGGCAATACCAATGCTTAAATGAAGTTTAGGGTTTTTAACTGAAATTTAACTTAAAATATTTTTTCTCTTCAGTCTTTTAGTACATATTTGAATTGGTTAATATTCCTAATGCCTTTGAAAGTTAGTTAATTTTAAGCTATGCCTTTTTTTTTTCTTTCAAAACTTTTCTCAGCAGGCTATCATTTTGTGGTTGGTTTGCTTGCTGTTAAGGAGGCAGGGAGTCTCGTTGTCCCCGTCCCCCCGTGTCGTGTGTTGTGTCTGTCTGTCCCCCCCCATTTTTTTTCCCCCTCTGTCAGACCTTGTGGTGCCCTGGAGCACATCACTAGGCAGTGCACTTTCCAGACTCAACTTAGAGGAGCTATTGGCATAGGATGTATGTAGTTTTTGCTATAAAATGATTTGGTATCTCTGAAACACTGTAACCTCCTGTCAAAAATCTGTCCTGCTCTTTCTGTTGTTGATACAGGTATTTGAAGAATACAAAAAAAAAGTATGACAGGGGCACAAGAACTGTCACAATCGCATTGGTATTTTATACTTTATCTTGGATGAAACTTCAAAGAAGTCTTTAGTTGTATTTGCATGATGTTAAATACAAGTTCATTTGGTGCTGTTAGTACCAAGACCAAAGATGCTCCATTGCACTGTAATGTATTGAATCCCAGGGAATAACGCAGACTGCCTTTAAGTACGTTGGGTGGAGGGGTGACAGCTGTGATTAATCAGAGGTGCGTACCTAGCATATCCTGCTCACCCCCTGGGTCAGCCTGGTACAGCTGACACCGAAATCAAGGCTGCTAATGTCTGCAGTACCGCTGCAACTGGTTGTACGTGGGGTGGGTAGGTAAAGCATTGTCCTGGTTTCAGCTGAGAGTTAATTTTCTTCCTAGTAGCTGGTACAGTGCTATGTTTTGGGTTCAGTATGAGAAGAATCTTGATAACACACTGATGTTTTCAGTTGTTGCTCAGTAGTGTTTAGACTTAGTCAAGGATTTTTCAGCTTCTCATGCCCAGCCAGCAGGAAGGCTGGAGGGGCACAAGAAGTTGGGAGGGGACACAGCCAGGGCAGCTAACCCAAACTGGCCAAAGGGGTATTCCATACCATGTGACATCATGCCCAGTATATAAACTGGGGGGAGTTGGCCTGGGGGATTGCTGTTCAGGAACTAACTGGGCATTGGTTGGTGAGTAATTGCATTGTGCATCACTTGTTTTATACATTCCAATTCTTTTATTATTGTCATTTTATTATTGTTATTATTGTCATTATTATTTTCTTCCTTTCTGTCCTATTAAACTGTTCTTCTCTCAACCTATGAGTTTTACTTTTTTTCCCAATTCTCTCCCCATCCCACTGGGGGGGGGGGGAAGGGAGGGAGAAGCTGTGTGGTGCTTAGTTGCTGACTGGGGTTAAACTATGCAAACGTGCCCAACTGATGAGCAATTAGATTTTGGTGAGTAAAAGAACAGTAGGAAAAAAGCCAGCATTTCTTCATATAGGACCTTTGGTAGAAGTGCAAACATATGGAGGACATACTCCTTTCATCTGAGGCAATACAAGTGGTTTTGGGTTATACTGTGAACTTCGTGCTGTGAAAATTGTGGAACTGGTCTGAACCAGAAACAGTTCCTCTTTGGAAATTGTTCCCTTCAACTATGTTTTGTGGCTTACAGTATGGCACCCTAAGCACTTGTAGTTAACAGCAGAATGAAGGGGGGAAGAAATGTTCATTCAACAGAGAAAATGCCAGAAGTGTGAGAATACTGGGTGGATTGGAGGAGGAAGTGGAGGGGGGAAAAGCATCCTCATGTGCAAAACTAGAAGAGCATAGGGGCTAAATCTTCATTGCTGCAGGACAGTACAACAAAACAAAAGCTAAGCATATGGTTGTAGAGCTATAAATTCTGGCATGAGGTTGT